TTGAATATTGAATATTGAATATTACAAAGCAAACTCGCCAGCTCCTTAAAATCTTACATTTAAATAGTTTAATTTATGTATGTTGAAACCATTAAATCAAATTTAGCAGCACTGATAATCTCAATAAACAAATGCAACATTTATATATCTGTGGTCTGTGTTAAAATATCAGCATTTATGGGGCCCCTGAAGGCCTGGAGGCCTTATGGAGCCACTGACTGATTTTGGATTAAACAGAAGTGCAAATAATTGATATTCATTTTAATTGTATTTTTTGATTAGCTGTTTTTAAGACTAGTTGTGGATTTAAATAGCGTTTCACTGACGCTGTTTTCCCGTAACATATAATTACCCAGTGATATTTTTACTTTTCCTTTCTAGTTAGCATCTTTAATACAAAAACCCAGTGGACCGCCAGTGGACCACCTCAGCGCCCTGACCACCTTAGCAAGTTTTCTGGGGGAAAGGTCACCAGCAACACAGAGACAGGACAAAACAACCATGCATGCACACATCCATACCTAAGGATGGGTTTACAGAAATCCATTAACGCAAAAGTCATGCTTTTGGACTTTGGGAGGAAGCCGGAGTACCCGGAGAGAACCTACGCATGCATTGGGAAAACATGTAAACTCCATGCAGAAAGACCCGGGGCTGGGAATTGAAGCCAGGACCTTCTTGCTGCAAGACAACAGTGCTACCAAGTGCATCATTGTGCAGGACCTGGGTTGATGAGCAGGTGTGAGTGGAGGGAGTGAAAGCAGACTGTGAAGGGATAGAGAAAGTGGCAAAAGAAAGCGGGGGAAGATTACACAAGGGGAAACTACCAAAATACAAACATAAAGGAGTAACACTAAAGGAACCTAATTAAATTAGAACAAAGGAAAATAACTATCCATCCATCCATCCATTTTCTTTACACCCTTGTCCCTTAGTGGGGTCGGGAGGGTTGCTGGTGCCTATCTCCAGCTAACGTTCCGGGCAAGAGGCGGGGTACACCCTGGACAGGTTGCCAGTCTGTCACAGGGCAACACAGAGACAAACAACCATGCATACACACACTCACACCTAGGGGCAATTTGGAGAGGCCAATTAGCCTGACATGTTTTTGGACTGTGGGAGGAAACCGGAGTACCCGGAGAAAACCCACGCATGCACAGGGAGAACATGCAAACTCCATGCAGAAAGACCAGGAATCAAACCCAGAACCTTCTTGCTGCAAGGCAACAGCTCTACCAACTGCGCCACTGTGCAGCCTACGGAAAATAACTAGAAACAAGAAATAAACATAACTAGAATCACCAATGAAGAACAGAAGTGGAAAACAAGGCAGAATTAAATGGAAACAACTAAGGAACACCAAAAGAATCTAAGGAGGATGCCGGCGAACGGCAGCCTTGGAGGACGCTGGCAGCGGAGCAAGTACCTTGGTGGACGTTGGCGGCAGAGCGGGAACCTTGGGGATGCTGGGGATGTATCCCATCCTGACTGACCTCCTGAGCCTTGTCGCAGGTCCTGTCGACCTCCCAGCCGACCTCCTGAGCCTGGCTGGGAGGTCGATGGGACCTGAGACACAGGCAGTGGAGCAAGTACCTGCCTGTGGCAGAGCAGGAACCGGGAGGCTGATGGGACCCACGATGAGGCTCTGGAGGCTGATGGGCCACGAAACGAAACCCTGGGGGTCAGCTGAGAGACCAAAGGGACTCGCCACAAAACCCTGGAGGTCAGCCAGGAGACCTATAGGACTCGACACGAAGCCTTGGAGGTCGGCCGGGAGACCGACAGGACCCACAACGAAGCCCTGGAGGTCAGCCTGGAGACCAACGGGACTCGACACAAAGCCCTGGAGGTCAGCCGGGAGACCAATGGGACTCGCCACGAAGCCCTGGAGGTCGTCCAGGGAACCAAAGGGACTCGACACGAAGCCCTGGAGGTCAGCCTGGAGACCAGCGGGATTCGACACGAAGCCCTGGAAGTCAGCCCGGAGACCGAAAGGACCCACAACGAAGCCCTGGAAGTTAGCCCGGAGACCAACGGGATTCGCCACGAAGCCCTGGAGGTCAGCCTGGAGACCAGCGGGAGTCAACATGAAGCCCTGGAGATCAGCCTAGAGACCAGCGGGACTTGACACAAAGCCCTGGAGACCAGCGGGACTCGACACGAAGCCCTGGAAGTCAGCCCGGAGACCGAAAGGACCCACAACGAAGCCCTGGAAGTCAGCCCGGAGACCAACGGGACTCGACACAAAGCCCTGGAGGTCAGCCGGGAGACCAACGGGACTCGCCAC